ATTCTGGAGTGAGTGAACGAACATCAGGAGCACAGGACGACAGCCAATTGCCATTTACTGCTTTGTACCGGGTTGCATTATAAATGAAATGTTTGATATTTATTATGTATTTTTAGTGTTTTGTAAATTGTAGTTTTTATTTTTACCCTGGGACCTCAGGAAGACTAGCAACCACTTTGTGGGAGCTAATTGTGATCCTAATAAAGAATCAAGAATCAAGAATTGCCACTTTTATTGATCCTGAAGCACGAATTTGGTGATCACTTTGGACCTATTGATTATCTCATCCATATTGTATTGATCTGAGCTACTTCACAAAAAACACTACGGTTCCAACTCCAGTGTTTTGAACAGTTGGAGTTTATTATTGCCAGGATTTACATGAACCACCAACAAAATACACTGTAGTCATAATCTACATCAGCATCTTTAAATGACCAATTTATGTGATTTAGAAGAAAAAAAAGTCACCTTTTTGTCTGTGCAGGCGTTACACGGTGTCCACGCCGACCAGCTCCCCAGCCTGCAGTTGATCGGTATCGGTCTGTTCACAGCTCTGGCCCTCCTCATCGCAGCCCCACTGGCCCACAAAATATTATTATCATCCCAGTTCCACCTCTGATTCCCACAGTGCATGGCAATGTATATTAAATCTAAGCTATCAAGATGTTATCAAGTGAAGGTAATAGATAGTGAAGCGAGGAGTACTCCACCTGTTATCAGCAGTTGTCCGTGGCTCCTGGGACGCATTCACATTGGTGCTAAAATTGATAAACAGATGCAGTGTGCATAAACCCAGGAATACATAATTTAATATCCCCATACTGAAAAAGAAGTAGCTGGTCCTAAATACTCAAATGCCACATCACAAAACAACTGTTGTAATCCTGAGGGGGACTTCTGCCGCCGCAGTGTGCTGAGCAAACACAGTGAATGATTGATAAAGAGTAAACACATGATCTTACAACAGCTGGGAAAGTTTTTTTTTTTGTTTTTTTTTTAATGATCTATAACCCCTATGTCTCATCTTTAAACAGTCCAATCCAAGTTGAACATGGTGTCCACATATAAACAACACTGACTGTGACAAAAACACCAAAAAGACACATTTACCTTCCTACAGTGTTTGCAGGGTGATGATCCTCCTAACATTTCATTTCCTGGATTCTGGTGATTTTTTATGCACCAGTTTGTGTTTTCTCTGCACTGATTTATAGTGAAAGCATCCTTTTTAGGGTTTTTTTTTTATTTTTATTTTTTTAAGGAAAACAAAAAATTCACTGCCCAGGTGATTACTCAAAAAAGAATGTAATGTCATGCAGCAAGGCTTTCAGAGAATCTGTGTTCCTCTAAAATACGTATTCTCCTGCAGATTTATTTTATTTTATTTTTTTAACATACTGTGATCCCTGCTAAGTGAACACACATACAGGCGTGATTTACTCTTCTGTCCTTTTTGTGTCTTTTGAGAAGCAACCTCTTCAAATCTACATGTGGCACCCTTTACGTCAATTACAAATTCATTCATTTTATTCTGATTCGCTGAAGAAATCAACGTAACCGCGCACGTAGGTCGCGCGCAGCACGCAGGCGCGTCACACAGCGGGGCTTTCAAATTGTTTGCGTTAGCATCATCCGTGATTAGCATAAACGGGTCGGCGGATTTATATCATGGTGAAGTTATCAAAGAAAAGTGTCGGAGTTTGAGCCGCTTTCCAAATGTTCAGGCCTGAACAGTGATGAAGAAAACGAGCTACAATGGAAGAGGTAAAGTTAAGCGTTTAATGAGCAACTTTAGTTAGCTAAAGGGCTGTTTGTGAAGCTAAATTTAGCCGTAATACAACTCCCTGTGCTAGCTAAGAAACGGATACACTGCTTCTGACTTGTTCTGAGTTATTTAAATGTATGTTTATTTATCCCATTTGATAGCACACTAATAGCTAAAGGTTTTTTGTGATGGTCACAGCATTGCCAAGTTTTCTTACCTTGTTTTGAGCGACTTTTTTGTTATCTTTCAGCAGTTCATAGCATGTTCTGAGGAGTATTGCTCAGTCTGATATTAATTTCCTATTTGAATCATTTAATCTAAAAAACATCGAAACTATGTAAAAGACTCATTACAAGTCCTGAGCTGACTCCATCTGTGTTTTTTCCAAACTCCAAACATATTCAGCTTATATTCTTTCATTAGAGGACAGATCAAACCAGCAAATATTCACATTTAAGAATGATCTATGGTATTGGAAGAAATGGCTTTGGGATATTTTGTTTCTGTGCCATAAATGATGCAGCAAGAAAAAAAAATACAGGCAGTTTCACCAGCTTACTTGAACAACTCTACTTGGAAAGAATAAATCATTTGAAAAAGATTGGGGTAAATTTGTACCTGAAAATAAAAAGAAGCTGGAAGAAGCCATTTGGAGCTTTAAGCCCTGACAAAGGCATCCAACATAGTTTTTAGTTTTGGATGACATTCGGATGTGGCTTTGCAGTTATCACACGGAGCTTTGGGGTTTTGATTTAAATGGTCAAAGAAACTTGTTCTGTTGCCTCCTGTGGTGGCAACAACGGCAAGATGATGCTGACAGAGCAGCGGATCCAGAGCACCAGAGTTCCTTTGTTTAGCTGAAATATTTCCATACAACTGACATTTCTTTTTTTTCTTTCTTTTTTCCTTTTCAGTGTTTCTCTCGTGTTAATCACTAATTTTTCTGCATGTCAACAAACTCCATGTCTTGTAAATAATGTAAGGAATCAAAGTAATTCATATTGAATAAGACAGACTTCTCCTGTAGGTGTACAAATTTCCTCTTTGCATGAAGCAGCAAAAAATAAGCATCACATAATGTGTTTGAGTTAATTTGCCTTACTTCATGTTGCACTATTTTCAAAGTGTCTAGCACAGATGCTCACATTGTGATGTCAGTGTCGAAATAATATGTTGTGCAGATGTATTTGAGGAGCTGAAAACCACAGAAGCTGCAATCATCTTCATTTTATTGGAAGGAAGGCAGGAATCTTATGTCAAGAGCTTAGTGCTTAGAATGAAAACTTTTGGGATATCTAGATTCCATGGAGTAAGTGAGAAATGCTGTTTAATTTGAGCAAACCCTTAAATTATGTTGTCATTCTTGAGTTGTGGCTCCCTAAACTAACCACTTTAATTACTGTCTGTCAATGTAATAGCCGTCTCTGTTAATAAATTATTAATTGTTCTTTTGTTTCAGGAGGGAGCAATAAACTTCAAAGCACTGAGAGCTAAATTTCAGGAAGAGGCCCTCCTGGCTCAGGCCCAAATCAGTCGTCCAGCTGTTGCTGAAAAACCTAAACACCTTCCGCCACCTGGAGGTCACTGCAGCTCTGTGGTTAGCACCATTAATATTGCTGTAGAAAACAAGACACCAGTGGTTCCCCGTGTCATCTTCAGAGATGGGCTGCGGTCATCTGGAGGAAAGCGACCGGTTTCCTTTCCACCGCAGCCTCTGCAGACCTCTCCTTCATCCCAGCTTCCTAATGGAGACAGCACAGCCAGGCAGTCCCTCAAAGACCGATCTATGCCTTTGGTGCTTCCTGTACTGCCTGTAAAAGATCTGAGGACAGAAGCACCAGCCAAAAAAGAGCACAAACTGGAATCAGATCCAGGGAAAGAAGTCTTGCCACAAACTAAAATCAAGAAGAAGGGTTTGCTGCTTCCTTTCAAGTCAACCAAAGCATCAAAGGTCAGTGCAGAAAATGGAGAGGAGCCAACGTATGCTGATCTGACCATCAGACCGTGTAGTGCTCCCGGTGAGTTGCCCTCAATGGAAAAACAAACCACAGAAGATGAGGTTTCTCTGTATAGTGACCAGTCAACCGCTGAGCACCCCCACTCCAGCCCAGACATCCCAGTCACCCCTCCCTCTGCAGAGAATAGTGGTGACTCTGACAATAAAATTATGAGCACTTTGGAGAGGGCCAAGAAGAAGTTCTCACGCCGACAGATGCTGATCTCTGCCAAGCCCAAGAGTTTGCGTTCCCCTGACTACACCTCCAGAGACAAGACGTTCCTGTCTCCACCAAAAAACATGGACGGCGACCTGCTAATACCCCCACCAGTGTGTCTCCCACACCTGGCTTGTATTTCAGCCAGACCTTTCTTCAAAGCCACCAGTTCTGCACGCAGTAAGTGAATATTTGCAGTATTTTATGTTCACATCAAATCCTCTATTTACTTTTTGTGTAAAATTGTAAGCATTCATGATTATTTAGATGAGGACTGCTAAAGCATTTGCTAAATTGTTTTTCCCCCCAAGAGCCAGCATTGGGTAAGCAGCTTCTCAGAGATGAAACTGAACATCCATTAGTGAAGACTGTTGAACCTCATCCACCGTTTGTTCCACTAAAGAAACATCTAGCTGACCTGAGGACACTGGGGCCACTGCCAGCAAAGCCCCCCAGACCTCCATTAGTTGATCTGAGCCCATACCATGCTCCCACAGTCAGTGGTATGTCAACATGCTTCAGTTTTCGTTTCTTTGCCGTTTCCGTAGCTTTGCTTTATTTCATTTTTTTTTGCATCTCCTCTTTTGTGGCTGCAGTTATTTTGCTTAGGCATCAGTGACTGTGCTTTACCCTCACTGCAGTTTACATTATACTGTTTGCGGTCGGGATGAACATCTGTTCAAATGTTACATTTGCTTTCTTTTTATAGAGGTGTCACCAGGTCCGAGCCAAGCACCAAGTGAAGAGCCAGACTCTGAGCACCCAGTCATCCCCAACCCTGTCCTGGTAGCCCCGGAGTTTCCACACTTTGAGAGTTCAGAGATGGAAGCAGCAGGGGGTGAAGCTGTTGATATTGCTTTGCTAGAACTGGAGGCTTTAGACTTAGCCAGCGCTGAGATTCACACAGCAGTCAACTTTGAGGTCACCGCCGGTGAGGGTCCACAACCTGACTTGTCAGCGTGTAATCCTGCCGAGGCTGGCGTAAGCTCTATCATCCAAGATCTGAACATTGGCAGTCAAAACATAATACCCCCCGATCCAGCCAGCTTCCCTGAACCAATAAACCTGTCAGAGTTCCCAGAGCTTGCTGTACCAGAGCAGTGGTCCCACAGCGAAGAGGTGCTTGTAGATTCTTTTTCTAAATCTCACTCTGATGAGACTGATCTGGGGGCTGCTGAGTGTCGGTCTGTCCCAGAGGAAAGAGAGCTTAGTGAGCAAGCTACATCCAATGATGGGATTCATACACATCCAAGGTGAGCTTTGAAGAATCATTTTGTCCGTTTTTTTTTTTTTCCCCCCCATAACACCGTACATATGTGAGTTTATACAGCTGGATTCCTTTTCTCCCGTCTAGTGTGTATCAACAAGACGATTACTATGAAACATACGATAATGTGTACGAGGACGTTGAGAGCATTAACAAATTCATCATGAGGCAGAACTCAAGCAAACACAAAGGCAACCTAAAGAGTAAGATTGTTTGATTAATACACATTTATTCTGAATATAAAATCCCTCGCGGACATTTACTTCTTTCCTTTTTAATGACTTCTTACAGATCCGTACGCCGACAACCACCCTATGGTAACGCATTTTATAATCTAATTGACTATATAATCCCCTCAGTGAGTAATAAGAGGACGAATGTGCGATGAATAAGTAATGAGCTTTGACAATCATCTGTACTAAATTAAAAATCATGTGCTTATTTCAAGGAGGAGCCGCAGCAGCAGCAGCAGAACAAATGGGTGCGGAATCCATGGTATGTTGAGGGTTTTTTTGTTTTTTTTCCTCACACATTCAAGACCTGCCTGTGTTCTTTCACTGACATTGATTTTTGCCAGATGGAAGGCAGCCATTGATTTTTCTCTTGCTGTGATAATCAAACTGCAGGGGCGGCGTATCAGGAGAACATGTCCACAATCACATCCACAGGTATGTTTGACATGTCGCTCCTCTCACTGATGGTGCGATTGACAACATGCGCCCGAATCGTCTGTTTTCACAAGCACAATTAGCAGTTTAATTTGTGTTTCAGTAAGATACTTCAGAGCCCGAGCACTGCCGACCATAAAGAGCAGAGGAAGAGGGAGAAGCAGCGACTGGAGAAGGAGAAAAAGGAGCAAAAGGAAAGGGAGAAGAAGGAAAACGAAATGAAAAAGAAGTTCAAAGTAAGAAGCGTCGTTTCTTCGATCTGGTGGAGCTGCTTTTTCTTCGGCCTGTTTTTCAAAGGCCTGTATTAGTCAGTTTTCTTTCGGCTTTACTGAGTCATCGATTGACTCATTTGAAAATTCGTTTGGAAATGCTGCTTCTGACGTTGAGTTAAATATCAGCGCTGCTCAGCAGAACGCAGCAAACAACGCACGGCTGTAATCTACAGTCATATCTGTCATTTGGGTGTAGTTTTTAGTTTCTCTGAAGACAATACCGGGCTGCGCTACGTTCTCCCCGTGCAGTGGGTTCTCCAACTTCCTCCCACAGTCCAGAAACATGCTGAGGTTAATTGGTGATTCTAAATTGTCCGTAGGTGTGAATGTGAGTGTGCTTGGTTGTCTGTCTCTATGTGCTGTTCAGGTGAACCTGCCTTCACCCTGAGTCAGCTGGGATAGACTCCAGCCCCCCTGCGACTCTAGTGAGGATTAAGCGGTGTATGGATGGATGGATGGATGGATGAAGACAGTACCTCTCATTGCTAAGATCTGACCCTGCAGGTGACTGGAGAAGAAGAACCCATGTACCATGCCAAGGTGATGGTGGCCAGCAAAGTCCGCAAGAATGACCTGCCTGTGAAGAACGGCGACACGGTCAGCATCATTCGAACCACCAACTGCCCCAAAGGCAAATGGTTGGCTCGGGATGCCAACCACAAATGTGAGTTACACGTTGTTTTATTTTCAAGTACAATTAGGATCTAACTGAGGAAAACCAGAAAGTGATTAGATGTAGAATTACACAAGCGTGTGCTAATTCCATCTGGATTTTGGACCCTCGTGATGTGAAGGTTAGGGGCATTCCTAACAGGAGTGTTCTTCCGTTTCCACGTTTACGCCTTGGTGTCATTAGCTTCGCAGTGTTCTCAGTAACCGCTCTCCCATGGCTGTTGCAGATGGTTATATTTCAGTGATGAACGTGGAGCTGAATATTAAGGAGATGCTGGAGCTCGGCAAGAAGGCTCAAGCAGCCGGACGAGGAGGCAACGTGGACGCAGATACCATCAGCATTGGGAGCAGGTACTGGATAGAATCCTTTGGTTTCTTAATTAAAAACTGATTTTCAGCCACTCCACCCCCCCACAGTCATGATCAGTTTTTCATGCTTCTGTTTTTGCAGATCCTCAAACCACCCCGTTCTAACAAGCAGCTGTAAGTAGCCTCTGCACAAAGACATTAGAATAAAATGGTTGGAGACTGGTTGGTTTTCAGAAAAGCATGCAGTGAAGTGCTTCATATAGAGCGTTTGGACTTGTTGACTGACAGAGTTCAGTTGCACTAAGGTTGGAAACCAGCCCACAGAGCGTCACACGAGCAACACTCCAGTCGTCATCTGCTTTACATTTCTGTGTTATTTTATGATTGAGAAGGAATTCCATTTAAGCCGAGGGTTTTTTTGGCTGCCACTCTGCCAAACATCTATCATCGTCATTGCGCACGCTGGGCCTTAATCACGATAATTTGTTTTTCCGCAGTCACAGATGACAGCGAGGAGTGGGCCTGTGAAGACGAGACCCTCTCACCATCCAATGAAAGCCAGTAAGACGTTTAATCTCCTTCGCTGCGACTCAAAGCCGCTTTTGGAGAAGAGTCACTTCTAAGTAGAACGACAGAAACCGTTGACCACATTAGAGTACATTTAAGTAATTCCCTCTGAGAGATGAAATTGAATTTCTGCGGCACACACGAAATGTAATTAATTCGCTTCTCATCATCCCGTACAGTAGCTTTCCTCAGCAGCCTGCCTCGGTGCCCGACATGTGTGAGTACCTTTTTTATATATTTGGTCCTTTTGAAGTGAAAACAAGAGAACAGAACACGCCGCCCCCCCCATATCCCCTCCAGCCTTCTGGTTTAAAGGGAAATGCTGCCTGTGGTTGTTTAATGTTACACAGGGACATATGGTGCACTGTAACATGGCTTTGATGTGCACTTTTTTTTTAACCGTACAGTTTCCTCACTCCCTCCTTGTTCTGTCTTTGCATAACGAAGCCCGTCTCTCACCTACTTCTGCCCTTCATGTGTTCCCTCTCACAGCATGTGTTCATGTCGCTGCCCAGCACACGCTGAGCGATGCCAACCTGGAAGACCTGCACACGCAGTAAGTTTCAAACACACAGGTGTCAAAGCAGATACTTTGGCTCGCAGCCTTCTCCCACCCATATGTACACAAACATCGCTTCAGATCTCCTCAAGCAGCAGCTTTATGTGATCCGTGTGAATTCTTGTACATTTCGTTGTGTGTTTACTCGTCTAAGACCACGTTAACATGAGCGAGCTGCTGAATAACAAAATGTTAAAGATGAAAGATGAGAAGCCGCCATAGAAATGTTAATGAAACACATCAGACAGCAGGTTTGTGAAGGAAGTGAAGCTATTTTGTGGTGATGTGGGTTTCAGGGTTTGTGTCTGCTATATGATAATAGGAGAGATCAAAGACTGCAGTTAAGACACTGGAGGACAAACAGACAAAAAAATCACTTGTTTTTTTCCTTCATTTATCATCGAGTCCCCAGACAAAGGCAGCAGCAATCTACTTGTTTTTTTAATTTTAATTTGGTTTTTAATCTGCAGCTGATTCTCTTGACGAGTTATTCTTGTGCAAAATGTCAGATATTGTTTAAAACTACAATTATTCTAACTGCAGTAAGATATTAAAAGTGATTATATGTCACTGATGGTCTGATTTTCAATTTACTGACATATATAACAAAAGAAAAAGCAACAAATCAGCAAAATTAAGATTCTGAAAACGGCAAATCTTTGGTGTTTTTTGGTGAAACAGCGAATCAGTCGCTGCTGATAGCGAGCTTTCTGCCTCATTAATCGGCTAAAACTTTTGGTTAAAAAGCTCCGAGTCAGCGTTACCACATTTAACCAGATACTGTCTAGTCAGACGTCTGAACTTAAGAAGCCTAAAAATACTGAAGTGTGAAGTCTGAAGTGAGACATGTTGATTATACACTTAATGACCATAATTAGGTTTATCCTGGGATGGAATTTATGACTCCATTTGGTTTGTATGTAATGCTGCATGTTCAGGTGAAGCCAAAGTCATAAAGTACTAAATTATCTCCACCGGTTCTCTTGAACATCATACCCAACAAACGTCTTTATCTGTATGAAGAGAAGAAAGCTTTTTATTTATTTTAACTGTTTAATCACAGAACTCTGACTCTGGAGCAAAATATAAGTTTAAATGGTTTCAGCCTACTGGGTGTGGAGAGGTGTGGATGGAGAATCTTTACGGTTGCGTTCACCCTTGTTTCCATGGACATGGTGAATACATTTAAATATTTAACTTTATTCAGCTCATTTTCAGGTTGTACTGATCAAATCAAGTTCATTGTCATGTTGCTGTTCATACACAGTAGTACAGGCAAGATGAGAGAGTGTTTCTTCAGGATCCAATAACTTAAAGCATTTTAAATAAAGAAGTGCTCCGGAAACGTTTGCCTGATGGCAACAGTTCAGACAGTTCATGGAGAGGGTGTGAGGAGTCCCTGATGATGTTCAGCGTCCTGCTCCTGCAGCAGCTCTGGAGAAGCCCTTGGATGGAGGGGAGGGAAAGTGCGTTCAGACAGGCTACAACTGATTTCTTTGCCACTGGAGCTATGGTGGATGTTTTAAAGCATCTGGGGGCAACGGCCTGACTGAGGGAGATGTTGAAAATGTCAGTCAGCACATCTGCCAGCTCGTCAGACTCTGAGCACACATCCAGGGATGTTGTCGGGTCCTGTTGCTTTTCGTGGGTTGACCCTGGCTTAGGGTCCTTATAAAAGAGACCAACATATGGGAGGAACAATACATATAATAGCATTTATTCACTTGCATTGTGGAACTTGTCTCCCCTTTTTTGCAGTGACAGTAACACAAACACTGCTGCTGCCTGTTTATGATGTGAGCCTCACCGTCGATTCCCTTCTTTTTTAGACTGTTAATCATTCTCTTGATGCCGAGTTTCTTTTCAGATCAGATTTTTCAGGTTTTTCCTCCTCCCTCGTACTCCTCGTTACGCCGTCTCTATGCTTTCTCCCTACTACAGTCACTGCTGGTTGACAGAGAGGTTTACGTTGATATGTGCTCTATCTTTTAGGGAAGATGATGCATGTAAAGGCAGAACCGGTCCTCTTTGGGCAGAGATGTGAAACATTGCAGCTTGAATAAAACTCATCATTGGATTTGTCCAGAGATGTCTGGAAAAGTGGGGAATTTTGAAACGGAGAACGTGTCTGAACCTGCAGAAAGCTTCGCCTTAATTACAACAAACTGCTGCGAATATATTTTACTTGCTCAGTCACATAGAAATCAAAAAAAAATTGCCAATCTGCCAACATTGGTTTAAGTACTTAAGAACATCTGTGATGCCGTTGTGGGAATCTGGTTCAGCCTGTAAGTGTTCTTGGTGTTCTTGCTGGAACATGTGAAGAGTTTACAAAATAAGAAGATGTCATCAGATAGAGTCAAATGAAATCTCAGACACAAATACTGATCATGCAGGAGGTATTTATGTATCTTAGACTGTGTTGGATTAGAAGTGTTTTCCACCTCCTGTAGGCCGTTGATGAATCCGACTGTTAGTAATGTTGTCTTCGTCCTCCAGGACCAGACATGAAGCCCTGCAGAAGCTGGCCGTCTTCTTTCAGCACAACAAAGACGAACTGGGCGACGCCTCAGACAGCGGAGCAGCAACCCCTACCAAGTATTGTCTTAACCTCAAACATTACTCTGTCAGTCCATTTGTCTTCAGCAGCATTGTTAATAATCTAAAACATGTTTGTATTTCATCCTTTCCGTCCTGTTTAAAGTGCCGAACCACCGGGTAAGTTTTTCCATGACTCCACTGTTGTCACCACATGTGCGTCGCTCACTGATAACGGTGAAGGGTACTTACACATCACTTTGAGGACACTGCCGTCTAAACACTGGTTGGAGACTCATCTGTGATGGAAAATAGCTTGTGAGGAGCGTTTATCTACTTCAAGGACCCCAGAGACGTGATGCTGATGGATATTTTGCAGGGACGTCAGTTCAAAGTTAATGTGACGCTTGTATCTATCTGCTTGTCTTTCTCCAGACTTCTTGTGTGCTGTCGAGGAGCCTCCATATCCGTAAGTGTCGACAGGTTCCTTCTAATCAGCGAGTGACGCTTCACTGTTTGATCTTTATTTGTGTTAGCAGACGACTCGTACGTTTCTTTTTTTCCTGAGATGCGCTCGCACAGTCCTTCAGGTTCTGCAGCATCCTCCTGATGTCCCAGTGTGTGTGTGTGTTTTGTATGACAGCGAACAAGAAGTCGACTTCACAGAGCTGGAGCTGCTTCCTCCTCCTCCGCTGTACGCCGACACCTTCTGATTACCACGTGAGCCGAAGCGGGGGACGTTCCAATAAAACATTGGGAGAGGAAACGCTTCAGAGCTCTGAAACCACGTGTCCAAGAGTGTTTCTGGCTCTCCGGTGCGGAGAACAGAAACCGCCGGATGTGACCGTACTATCATTTTGATCTCACGTTTTGCTTTGTTTACGTTGTTCTCTACACGTCTTGGTTTTTTTTTCTTTTCACTGAGGCCAAAGTGGACACTGCACAGGTTTAATAGTTGCCCAATAGTCAGTTCACTTGTGTTTGCAAAAATGTTCTGTACATTGGGATTTTTTTTTCTTCTGTTTATTAAACATTCGACACTGATTAAAGCTTTCATGGCATTTTCTTTTTTTTTACTGTTCAACAGCAGCAGTGGTATTATGATCCTTTACTGAAGTACCTAAAGTACTTAAAATCCTATTTAAGAAACAGTATTGGTGGCAAATAGAGTATTAAAGTAAAAGGTTTGGTCCCAAATAGTTTTCTAATCAGGGACAGCACATAAATCTGATGGTTGTCAGATGATTAGTGGGAAAGAAATCAGTTTTTCTTTCTTATTTGCCTTTTGGTGCAATGTCTGATGACTTAATAAGATGAAATCATGTGAGAAGTTAAAGTAGTTGTTAACTTTTAGCCCAGCTGTTTGCATAAAATAAAAAAATGGGAAAAATGGTTTAATCTTGTATTTTAAAAGTCTGCTATGATATTGTGTTAAATCTTTATGTAAAAGTAACTGAAGCTGTCGGATAAATGTAGTGGAGTAGAAAAAACAAGACATCCCAGAGTATTTGGCTCCTTTCCATTTGTTTTTCTGAATTTTGTTCACTCATTTCCACATTTTTTTCCAAAGAAACCAGATTGTTTATCATCTTATTCAAAGCAAGACCACCCATTAAAAAAACATCAAGGAGAACAAATCCTGAAGCATGAAAACAGAAACGGACACCTTTCCTTCATGCTCATGTTGCTGAGTTTGCTGTAAAACCTTTTTTTTTCTGTGTTGGATCTGAGCATCCTGCAGCTCACAGAGGTGACTGTGGGAACCAGCCTGTAGGCACTGAACCGGACATATGGCATTAATTGGTCAGGGGAGGAGCCGGAGGAGGGTCTTTTCTCCTGGAGGGCTGCAGCAGGACTCTTAACTGGCCCACAAGGAAGGATGGTTAGTAGATAGAGAGCTGCGATAGTTGGAGGAAACCAGAAGTCTGCGAACAGCGTGGAAACTTTTTAGTGACTTCTCCTCCTCAGGATTCATGCAGCAGAGACACGTCTAGCAGACTGTAAGAGTAGACGCACAACTTTTTTTTTCTTTAAGGAAAGCTAGTTTTGACTCATTATTTTTTGTTACTCGGAGCACATCAAACGTTTTAAATGCAACGCTGTCTGATCTATGAGAAAACGATGGCAGCCGAGACGAGGAACGGCGGGAGTTCGCTGAACAACAATAACTGCAAAGACCACAGCAGGAGGAAGCTGCTGGTCGGAGTGGATCTGTTCTGCCTGTTTTTAGGTAAGAACCCCCACTTTTATCACCTAAAACCATCAAAAGCAAGCATGACTGTACTTTTAGTGAGTTTAACGGTGAATGTGGCTTTTTTTCATGACTTCGCTGTTTCGTTGTAATGTCCCTTTAAGTCACTTTATAGGAGTTTAATTAAACTTTTCTTTCATGCTAGTGCGGTCTTTATCTCCCATGTCGTACACTTTGACTTCACATAGCTTCAGTATATTATCCTGTGTTGTTTGTTTGTCATATTTAACCGTTATGCTTACATTACATCATAATAAAGAGGAACGTAA